AATCAAGGGGTCAGTAAAGGACAGAAAAATATTCAGAGATCAGGACTGTGATTTTGCCAACTTTGATGAAAGTTGTAAATCCAAGACCAATAGAACTCAATAAACACCTTGACCAGTCAGCACAAAGGAAACCACACCAAAGCTGGGTGTAATCAGATGCTAAAAATCAAGAGATAGGGCTGGGGTTGTGGCTCAGCCGTAGAGCGCTCATCTAGCACATGCGAGGCCCTGGGTTTGGTCCTCAGCACCACATAAAAATAAATAAATAAAATAAAGGTATTGGGTCCAACTACAACTGAAAAATAAATATTTCTTTAAAAATCAAGGGATAACTAGGAAAATTTAAAAACAGCCAGAAGGGGAAAAAGAGAAATGAAATCATACAAAGAATCATAAATAAGAATGAATCCCAGCTTCTCATCAGAAACAAAATACAAGTCACAAGACAATGGAGTGGCCTCTTTAAAGTGTTCAAAGGAAAAAATCTCAGAAAACAGAGACCCTTCCCAACTCGTATCATGAAGCCAGTATTACCCTAAGGCAAAACCAGATAGAAATATTATAGGAAAAGCACAGACCAATATTCCTCATGAAAATAGATTCAGCAAATCCTTAACAGAATAATAGCAGTGAAATTCAACCATAGGTCAAAAAGGATATAAATTTTCCCGGTAATACCAGATTGTTCTAATATGAAGAAACTAATCAATCTATTTGACCATATTAACAGTCCAAAGGAGAAAATCATATCATTTCAAGAAAAATTGAGAAAGCACGTGACAGAATTCACAACAGATAATGAAAACATACAGTGATCTAGGAGGAGAAGTAAATGTCCTTACACTACAGAAGGCATTTTAGTCATGGTGAAATGCCAAACGCATCCCATCACATCAGCGACAAGGCCAAGGGAATCTACTCTCCCTTCTATTTCACACTGTCCTAAAGACCCTAGCAAGTGCAAAAGGCTAGGAAAAAAAAAAAAAAAGAGGCATCCAGCCAGGAAAGGGTGGTAGGACGATCCCTGGAGCCTATGAGGTCAAGACCAGCCTGGCAACGTAGTGAGAATCTGTCTCAAAACAAAACAAACCAACAGAAAGAAATAGAGGCATCCAGGTGGGAAGGTAAACAGTGTCATGGAATCTACAGGGCATACTACTAGAAATAGAGTGTGCTACTATAAATAAGTGAAATTAACAAGATCAACAGAATCAGGGTAATAGGTAAAAATACAAAAATGTTGAAATACCACTCCAAAATAAAAAGAATGAATTGTTGAAACACTCAACAGCATGGCCAGGATCTCAAAAATCAGTATACTGTGCTGGGGATGGAGCTCAGAGGTAGAGTTCTTGCCTAGCGTGCATGAGGTCCTGGGTTCCATCCCCCACACCACGAAACAAACAAACAACCACAATGTTCTGAATGAAAGAAGCCAGACACCAAGGAGTACATACTGACTGTATAATTCCATTTCTATGACATTCTAGGAGAGGAGGAATTCATCTTTAATGACAGAAAGCAAAATGTGGCTTCCCTGGACTGAGGATTGGGGATTAATTGCAAAGGATAAGGAAGAAAAGTTTTAAAGTGATAAAAAATGTCTTCTGGCCTTGGGGTGGGGATTATACTGGCATATATATTTGTCCAAACTCACAGAACTCTGACTTAAGATGGGCCTATTTCATTGGTTGTAAATCATACTCCATGGAGTTGATTTTCAAAAAATTGAAATGTAAGTATCACCTCCTAAGCAAAAATAAACCAATGATTTGAGCTGCCAATAACTTACTTACTGACTGAAAGCATTTTCTGTAAGCACTGTTTGCACTGTGCTGAGATGAAATGGGAACATTCCTGTGGCCTGGAGACAGCATCAACGGACATGAAGCAGGGGGGGGAATAGAGAAAAGGAGACAGAGAAACTAGGCAAATGTTTATTCCTCCAGAGGTCATGCATCACTGCCCATGTGTCAGCTGGACTGCTGGGAAGTGTTCCCTCTTTGGTCCTCTCAACTGGATCCCCTAAAGCCTCTGTTTCTGGGAATGAGGATAATAAAGCCTAGAATTCAAGGAGAATGCCTCCCTCCTCTTCTAGCACTTAAATATGATGTGCAGTTATATTCTCCCAGGGCACCCATAGTCTGCTCAGAAATATTAACATTAACACTCATACAACAAATATGTGTTGGCTACATACCATGGACCAGAAACTGTGCTTATAGCTGGGAACAAAACAGACGTGTTCCCTTATCTTGATATTAGAACAACTTGGGATAGTGGGAAAATAGTTTGAATTCAAATTTTTCCTGGTTCTAATCCTGACAGTGCCTGCCAGGGAAGCAGGAAGAAATCCCTTGAACTTTCAGGGCTTTACTTTTCCTAGCTTTCAAATTTCAATTTTGAGAATCTGAAATATTCCAGCAGTAATTTCTAGCTTGATGGCCATTGTTAATACTCATTGCTAATGAGACTGTGGCACTGTTTGTTTGGGGGATTGGGGCAGGAGGGTTGTTGCAGAGGGCTGCGCCCCGCAGATCAGAGCACAGTGACATCATCTGTACGTTGGAGAGCCCTTTTCTTAGCCTCTGATGCTATTCTTGGTGGCAAATCAAATCATCTGAGAAATTTGAAAACTCCCAAGGCTCAGGCTGTACCTCAGACCAATTAAATCAGAATCTCTCGGGAGTGGGACTCATGCTTCCGTAACTTTTAGACTTATTTAATTACCTGTTTATTTGCCCCTTTCATACCCATCACTCTTCAACCCCCCCTCCCTTTCAAAGGCAGTGGCTCTGTGAAATTGGATCTGTGGCAGTGAATTTGGGGCATACCATTTTGGTAGCAGGTAGCATTGTTCTGTGTATTTAATTGACACCCTGCCACAGCTACTGTGATTAGAGCAAGGTAGAACATTCAAGCTGAGCCCAGGGCATGGATGTAAACAGAGCCCAGGTTCTGTGAGCCTCTCCATATTTTAATCATTGAGGAAACAATTATGGACTCTCCATTGTTCTATTATCCTCAACATTGCTGCTTCATGCTGTTCTTTCACTCAGCAGACATTTATTGGGTTTCCGCTCTGTGCTTGGCACAGTGTCCTAGAGTCTTTGGAGAGCAGAAATTAACCAAGTGGAGGGAGAAGCATTCAAGAGGTCAAAATAGCAAGTGCAAAGTACCTGTGGTATAAAGAGCTTGGCCAGCCAAAGAAATTGAAAGTATACTGGTGTGTCTGGAGCACAGAGTGCTGGGTGCATGGAGTGAGGGGAGACTGGCCATGTGGGAAGGGGCCAGGCTGCCCAGCACCTTGTGGACAGGCTGGGGCTGCAGGGAGCATGGCAGGAAGTTGCTTCCAAAACTGGTGCCTTTCAGAAATACATTGACTGTTTGTAAGTCCACAGTAAAAAGACATTAGCAAAACAATTTTAAAAATTAGCAAAAGCAGGGTGAGAGCATGATTGTGAGTCATATGCAGAAGGTCACCAAGAGTGGCACATTTTTATTTGGTTCCCTCCCAAACAAAACCACAGGCCCCACCCCTAAGTTTTTGCTCCCTGATAACAGTAGGTAGTATGGACTCAGAGCTGGATTCATGCCAGAGACTATTGTAAGCACTCAATTGTCTTACTCAGTCTCCATGACCAGCCAAGAACTATGAACTATTACTACACCTTCTTATGGGTGGACTCAGAGATTAATGACTTGGCCACAGACACACCACTACTCAGTGGTAAAACTAGAAATTAGGCCCAGGCATTCTTTTTCTGGAAGCCAGTTAATCATGCAATGCTGATGTTGGAAACTAAGTGGTTTTGCTTGTAGCCCGAGTTAAAATATGTTGTCTTTACTCCGAGAAAATAGAAACTACAATGAGGTCTCAAGCAAGTAGTCCCACCGTCAGATTATACTCCTGCTCAACATGTACAGATCAGGAGCAGTTGGCAAGGACACCTCCACTCCCACGAGGGGATACATAGTAGTTACAGAACAGTCCGTGAAACAAGGAAACAATTGAAATTTGCTACCTGATATTTCAGGGAAATTTTAGGAATGATATAATAGGCATAATAGAAGCACTGCTGTTGAGGCTGATCAAGGAAATTTGCTTGATGGATGTGCTGTCATAAAATTGTCCTACCCCAGGGACTCATGTTGTTGGTCTAGATTCTTATAAAGCCTAGATGCAAATTTGCACATCCTATATGCTCTGGGGTGACACACCAGAGAGTTCTGGAAGCTATGGAAAGTGTGGGCTTATGTACACATGCAGCCTTCTTCAAATCCAGGGATATTCGTAAATTGCCAAGAGCCTTGGGCTCATCTAGAAATCATTGTCATTGCTACCATTAACAATGAGTACTGTTTTAGAGTCTGGGATTCATAGGTATTCATATGAGAGGCACCAACTAGAGAGGCACATGTGCACTTTTAGCAGATACTCTGGAATATGCTATATCCAAGTTCACATTTATGGAGTATTTATCGCAATACAAGCAGTATTTCATATAATCCTCAGAACAGCCCGGCCAAGGAAAGTAGGTCCCTCATCATTACAGATAGGGAAATGAAGACCAAGAAGGTCTAAGTAATATGCCCAAAGTCTCAAGGTGGGGTTGGAAGAAGGTTCTGACTTTATACAAAGTCTGCTTGGCTCCCAAGCAGCTAGGTTCTTTGCTGCTTTCTATAAAAACCTGTCCATAGAGTTTATATCTCGTACCCATGATGCACTGGCCAGAGGATAGAAATGATCCCTATTTTTTTTTTCCTTTTATAGCTACAGACATAAAAGTCTGGTTGTCAGTCAGTTGCTAAAATTCAGATGTTGGTTGAAGAAGCAACACAGTCTTTGAGCCCTTCCCTTTCCTGCTAAAATAAAGAAATAACGATGCAGTTGCAAAGATTCTGTTTATCCGAATCCACTTCTGAAGTCTGCAAGGCATTCAGCCGCCACGGTGGCAGGCAGGCACAGCCAATTGAGGCTGATTTCTTTTGTTCCACAGCTGCAGAACCAGGAGCTGCTGAGGGCCATGATGAAGAAGGCTGAGCTGGAAATCAGTAGCAAAGTTGTGGAAACAATGAAGAGGCTGGAGGATCCGGTGCAGCGACAGCGCACCCTAGTGGAGCAAGAGAGACAAAAATACCTCCACGAAGAGGAGAGGATTGTCAAGAAGTTATGGTGAGTTGTCAAGAAGTCACTGGTCCCATGTCTAGCTGTTGAACCTGGAAAGGAAAAAGTGTCTTTACTCAAAAGGAGGATTTTCTTAATTGGTGTTTTCTCCCTCTGTCTTTATTAAGCCCCTACTGTGTACAAGTGAGTGTTCCATTGGTCCTGGTATCTGTGAACACAGGTACCCCTCCATGGAGGCCTGGGAAATTCAGCAACCCCCAGATGACTGAGCTAGTCTTTTTACAAGTTGGAGCATTACATTTTTTTCTCTAGGGTTCAGCAACACATAAAATTAAAAGCAGCAAATGTCAAAACCCAATGATAAATGGAAAGTCTGTATTTAATCTCAATAAATTAAAACTAATAAGCAAAATAACACAGCACTAAAATTATCCTCCTATTATTCAACCATAGATGAAATTGCTGAAGAAGAATTTCAATGTAAAGTGTGTCTGATCCAGAATGAAAGATGCTTCCTTGGATGTTACCAATCTTATATAAGGTCCTTATTGAAAGCATCTATCAAATCCCACCATTGAAATGAGCAGAGTTTTATTACTCCCCATCAGGAGGCAGACCCATCTTTTATGTTAATGTATATTTTGGTATGCAACAAAGATTTGTTATAGAATTATTTCACCTTTAAGTGTAATGAATAGTCATTTTTCTAGGTTCCTCTGGTGTTGGTAGTTTTCTTTTGCTTAGAAATATTAAGTCTCTCAAGTTGGGATTTATAAGAGGGCAATTTGCAGATTCTTCCTATGACCAACCTAACCAGAATTCTCTATGATGGAAAGTGTTATATACTATCACCTATTTCATATTTGAGCTATAGCTTATATTATCCCAATACCAATCCCATGTGTTTGATTAAAATGAGAATGTCCCTCTCAACAGTCTAGAGAGAAAAAAATCAATGTGAGTTATTATTTTCCAAATAAAAGTAGACCACTCTTCATTGACATCTCAAAAAAACTTCTAAAATTTTACTTAGTTCATACATTTGTGGACAGAGTTGATCACCCACCATGAGGTAATAAGGCTATTATTTATCTGAAATGATTTTGTGACAGCCAGATTATTTAATACTAGGTCTCAAGACTTATCTGTAAATATATATACTTATATATACATACATTTAATATTTGTATAAATTTTCAAGAATATTATGAAAAAAAGAAAATGTCCTTAAAATTTTTTGTATATTGGTTAACTAACTCTTGTTTCTGGCCTTTAACAAGCATCTTTATCTCAATAATATCCTAAGACTAGTAGCTTAGCTGATAAAGGAACAAATATGTTATACCATATCTTACTGCATAATTGTCACAGATCTGATACCAAACTTTTTTTGCATAAAACTGAGATGCGACCTTTATGAGAGGCTTTTTAAAAATTGTGTCACTATTACTCAAAAATCATTTATTACTAAACTGTCTTTGGTGCAAGATTCAGATGCACAGAATACTCGTGAATCTATGTTAAGACAGTTGCAACAATTATGCCATGAAATACGTGAGAGGATTTTTTTCTGGTTGGTGTTATGGGATGGCCATAAATGAATAAAGTATGCACAGGGCCCTTGGGGATCTTCAGTGTAGCAAAGCAGAATGTATAAATAGGAGTTTAGTGCAGAACTGGTGATATGCAGGTTGTGGGTGAACCTACTGCTTGTGAGCCCAGGGATCAGGAGACTTAACCTGAAGTAGTTATTCTTTATATGTCCCACAGGCCAAGCCCTGCCCTATACACATGGTAATGTCAAAAGTGGTTAAACTGAACTGAGATGGGCTTAAAGGCAGGTGAATTTCATCAGCAGAGGCTAGAGACCTTTCTGGCAGAGGAACCCTATGGACCACAGAGTCTCTGGACCAGGAAAGTACAGGATATCCTTAGAGAATTGGGGGTAGTCCAATTTGGCAGGAGAATTGAATGCAAGATACTACTTCCAAAGTCTTCTGTTTAGGTTGTGCCATTCATTTCTAGATCTTATACTACACTCCACTTGGATATCCGCCTGATGCCTGTCTAGGCTGTGCCTACCAAAATTGGAAGATCATGTTAACAGAAACCTGAATTTCTGGGTTTTGTTTTTATTATTGGTTTTGTTTTGTTTTGATTTGACTTGATTTGGTTTGGTTTGGTACCAGGGATTGAACCCAGGAGCACTTAACCACTAAACCACATCACCAGCCCCTTTTATAATTTTTTTATTTAGAGACAGGGGCTCAATAAGCTGCTTAGGGTCTCGCTAAGTTGCTGAGGCTGGCTTTGAACTTGCAATCTTTCTGCCTCAGCCTCGTGAGCCACAGGTGTGCACCACTGCACCAGGCTGAATCTCTGGTTTTTATACAAGTTCCCAGGTCCAACCCCAACTGAGAATTTCTCTCAATGAAACTTAAGCTACATAGATGATTCCAAAGTACCTGCACATGATGAGGAAGGATTTTTGATCAAGGAAATAGCAAAACTCGACCTGTATTCTGTAAAGTTCCCTCTGGTGGTCCTGTGCCGGGCTGATTGTAGAAGATTAGTAATTGACCACACTAGAAGCAAGTGTAACAATCTAGGGAAAGAGGCAATGAAGCCTGAACCAAACAACAGAAAAAGGAATAGGAAAAGAAATCAAAGACAAAATACACTAAAGTACAATTGCCTGAAACTAGGTCTGGGGCTGGGGCTAGGGTTCAGCGGTAGTGCATTTGCCTGGCATGTATGAGGAACTGGGTTCAAGTCTCAGCACCGCATATAAGTAAATAAATTAAAGGTCTATCAAGAACTAAAAATATATATTTAAAAAAAAACTAGGTCTGGATTCTTCTCAAAGGTGTCTTGTAATATTTTTGTAACTCTTCCTTTACCTCTTATAATGTATAAAGCAGGTTAACTGGATGTGTGCGCATAGTGAGAGCACAGGTTATAAAACATAGTCAGAAATTCCCAACTCTGGGACATGAGGGAACAGAGACCTCTCTCTTTCTCCTCCTCTTGTTCTTCCTTTTCCTTCCAAGCACTGGAAAACAAGTTCCCTTGGAGAGCCCGTGAAGCCAGGTACTAGCAGGCAAGTCAGACAGCAGAGAGGTGAATTTGAGTCTAAAAGGATAGATAGATATTGGGTCATGATCATTTCTCTTTCATGGTTTTCTACCTGGAAATAATAGTTGGGCTTATAATAACGGATGAAATCTATTTTAACAAACTCTATGCTTTTTAACAAAAGTAGCATGAAAAGCAACTTAGTATTTCAAAAGTCACATTGATTGTTAGGTTAAAAGATGTTCCACATTCATTTTTAGCTCCGGTGTCTCTTTTACAATTTTTCAATTCACAAATGTAATATTTAATGCTTTGTCTAAATAGGTATCATGAACATTAGAATAGAAGGGACACTTGTGTACCATAGTATCAGTTTGCACAACAAAGAAAATCTATGAGTTATGAGGGTTAGAAAATCCAAGAGTCACATTGTGTAGAAAAGATCAAAATGGAATTCAGGTAGAGTGACTGTGGGTCCTGTTTGGTCATATAGAAAATAACCTTTCCAAAGATACCATATGTAGTGCTTCATGAGGGACGGCACACAGTCTCTCCTCCTCAGGGATACAGTAGATGTAGGAAGCATCTTTGGGTCTGTTCTCCTAATACTAAGCACCTTTCCATTGTCCACAAATGTGGACAGTGAGCAAGCAAGACTTTCCCTTTGGGTCCAGAAGGGCATTATTTCATCAGAAATGTTCACAAGCAATTTCTACAACAGAATGAATGATATCACTACATTCTCCATCCACTGGTCAGAAGTGGATGAATTTGTCATTTGCGTTATGGTCCTTGTTGGATATACAGCATATCCCTGCCTGAATTTCTTCCACAGCTGCCAAGGCGCCTTCCGCTTGCCCACCTGATGGAAAGGGGCTTTGTGATCCATCGTTTTGCTGATAACTCTGCCTTCTTTTATCTCTAGCCAGCTCCCTGTTCCACACTCTGTTCCAGGAAGCAGAATCACTGTTCACTTACTGCCACCTAGTGGTCCTGCAACGTTCCTTCCCCTGTTAATCTTTGAGTGTGAGTGTGTGCCCACGCACACACGCGTATTTATTATACAGAATGGTGGGTTTCATTGTGGTTTCACTGTGGCATATTCATATATGCTTATATGGTTTGGTCAAATACATCCCCCATTACCTCTCCTTACCCTCCCTTCCCTCCTCCTCCCAATCCCTTTTCTCTATACTAGTAGGTTTCCTTGTACATTCATGACAAAATTTTATCTGGTTGCATTCCCAGGCAACTGAAATGATACCAACAGGTGTTTAGGGTAGCGCTGGTAATGTGCCCGGAGGCAGGCTGTTGTTTTCTTGTTATTTCAAGTGGAAAAGCTTAACTTAGCTCTATTGGAGCTGACATCTCTACACCCAAACACACACACACACACACACACACACACACACACACACACAAACACCAGAAACCAGATTGGTAAACATATCTTCTGTTTTTAGCTTGGATAGGAAAGAGTCAATCCTCAGTCAGGGACAGTTTTGTTCCTCCTCCCCTAGGGACATTTGACAATGTCTAGACATTCTTATTTATCACTAGTTACAGGGGGGGAAGGTGCCAGGGTGCTACTTGCATTTCAGAAGTGAAGGCTGGGGGCTACTAAACATCATAGTGTGCATAGGTTAGTTCCTGACCAAAAAAAAGGAATTATTTGGCCCAAGATGCCAAACAGTGAAGTTGAGAAACCTGATGTAAACCAGTCCATACTTCTCATTTCACTCCACTAAGTGCTTCTGTGTGCACACACTGACCCATCCCACCCCACCATGAAGTGCACTCATCCCTCCCTTAGCTGGTATCAGCACCACTGGGAATAAAGAGCGGTCTTCCACCAGGCACGATCTTCTGGCCAGTGGGGGCCTCCCCATGAACAGACCCTGGGAAAACCTCCTTGGACCTGCCTTACACCTCAGGGAATATTCCAAGCCAAACCCAGCTACTGTTCTAATGTGCTCTCGGCATCTAAGTGAAAGGCTTAGGAGGGTTGGACACTGTGAAATTGGAGACTAGGCGAGCACTCCGCCTTTGTACCCATCCTTCCTGAGGACCTCACTGTTGAGCTGTCTGCTGTCTGCTTCCCCCACAGTGAGCTGGAAGACTTTGTTGAAGACTTGAAGAAGGACTCTTCGTCCGCTGGCCGAGTGGTTACTCTCAAGGATGTGGAAGATGGGGCTTTCCTCCTAAGACAAGTGGGAGAAGCAGTAGCCACCCTGAAAGGTGAGCATTCCACCAGAGGGGAGAAGTCTGAAGTGTGTTTCCTGAGATGCTTAAAGATCTGTCACATAGGTGTCAAGTTTGTTGATGTGTACCTGTGATCCCAGCTACTGTGGAGGCTGAGGCAGGAGGATGGCTGGAGCCCAGGGGTTCAAGACCAGCCTGGTTAGTGTAATGAGACTCCCTTTAAAATAAGTAAATATAGATAGACAGATGATATAATTTATATGTATTACATTTATATATATGCATACATGTGTGTGTATATATATATATATATATATGTTAAATAGTGAAGGATTCATTCATGCAAGAATGCAAGCAATTATTTATAAAATGACTACACATGCCAGACACTGTCCTGGGTACTTGGGATACATCACTGAGCAAAACAGGCAAACATCCTACCTTCTTGAAGTTTATACTTAGTGGGTTCTGTAAGATTCAAGACTAATGATGCTAGTAACACTTACTATCAATTTTCCTACTTGCTGGGCCCATACAGTGTGCCCGGACACCTGTGCCAAACTCTTTAAACATAACCCCAAGGTGCAGTTGGCCTTAACCCAAATATACAGGAGACAGGCCTAAAGGAGCTGTGACCTTGCGCAAAGTTACTTGACCTGACATTTTCCTATTCTCTTAACCCTGCCTCGCCCTTCCCACAGACGTGTGAATTCCACACTTCTCAGTGCTATCCAGTGTCAGGGTGCAGGATGGGGGTGGTGGTTCTGCCATTCTCTTATAATCACCAGCTGGTTTGGCCTACAGGAGAATTTCCAACCTTACAAAACAAGATGAGAGCCGTCCTGCGCATAGAGGTCGAGGCCGTGCGGTTTCTGAAGGAGGAGCCACATAAGCTGGACAGTCTCCTAAAACGTGTGCGCAGCATGACAGACATCCTGACCATGCTGCGGAGGTAACTGGGAACCCCCGCACCCCCAGACTAGGAAGGCCTGCTGAGGGGGTGGGCCGGGGAGACCGGAGTGCATGTTGAAGACCCAGGTTCTGCCACCATCCAAGAGCCTGCGTCCAGGGTCATGTCATGACTTATCAAATCTTGTTTCTGGAAACCATGACTCCTTCCACCCCAGGGCTTTCATTGCAATATACCTCAAGGTTCTAATTCTTCAGCATAGACTTGCAGCATTGGACCCATTCTATGACTTAAAATGAATAGACATGGGCTTGGGGTGCAGCTTAGTGGTAGAGCGCGTTTATGGCATGTATGAGGTCCTGGGTTCCATCCCCAGCACCACAAGAAAATAAAATAATAAAATGAGTAGACACAGTCAACATTTCTTTAAAAAAATCATTTGAAAGTTGGTTTTCTTCTTTGGCTTGGTTTTGTTTTGTTAGTAACACTTTGAAGTTGAAGACTAAATCAAAGTAGTCTATTAGCCTCCTTCATTCCAGAGGCATAGAAGACTTTGGTTTGGAGAAAGTGAGTAGTAATAAATCTCTCTTAAATTTCCTACTGAAGGAGTATCTGAGAGTGTGTTGGTGCCATCTAGAAAAGAGAACTAAGACTCCTAAAGTGGCATGAGCCAGTCCCCTACCCAGGGTGAACCTGCTCATCAGGAAGGGTTACTATAGGGAAAGAGTAAAGAAATCACTGAATGACCCATGACTTTCATTGTAAAGAAAAATTCAGAACTCCATAACCCACTCAAAGAGTGTTTACAGGCCTAGGAGTGCAACTGAGCAGCAGAGCCCCAGCCTAGCCTGTGCACGGCCCTGAGTTCAATCCCCAGCATGGGGTGTGGAGATGCCGACATATAAGCATGAAGGATTCGGAAGCACCCTGGTAAATAACATCCTGTATGCTCTGTCTTTGAGTTACAATTGGATCTCTCTCTTCTCAACCTAATAATAAGGATAACTTGGACCTCCCAGCGCTTTCTATGTATCAAACATTGCACTTTCTATGTATCAGATGCAGGACAGAACCCTTGATGCGTATTACCTCATCCACTCCAGGCACTGTTATTTCATTATTTATAGGTAGAATCTGAGGCTTGGGGACATTCACTGCTAGCGAGAGGTGGGGCTGGGTTGTGAACAGATCTTTTGACTCCAGAGTAGCTGTCAGTTCTTACCTTACAGCCAGGGATGCAGTAAAGTTCAGTAACATTCTCTGTGCCCAGCCTTGGTGCTGGGTATATAGAGACAGTAATAAACAAGACAAGTGGGACCCTATCCTTATAAAAATTACTCTCTCCCATGAGGAATAGATACTAAACAACAACCAAAAATAAGCCACAGCCCTACAGTGGCAGTCCCTGAAGTGTTAGGGTTTTTTTAATAAGATCAAAAAGTTCCCCTTCTGGACCAGATTTGAGAGTAGGTCCCAGACAGAAGTAACATGTAGGAAACTTTCTTGTAGGGATTTTAATCACTGACTATAATTATTTGATCAGATTTAGAAGAAAAGTATCTGAAGTTCACAGTTAACTAAGGCAAATTATTAAGCGTGAGGAGCAGATTAAATTTTTCTAGCAAAGAATAACCTCGGAAAAGCCCCTTTTGAGATAACCCTCTATAGCAAGTGTGTAAGCACCAGGATGCTAAAGGAATCCAGATTAAAATAAAAAATGCTCCCTCCTGTGAAGTCCACATCTGACTGTATACAGGAAGACATTGCATGTGTGTTAAATTTTTTCATAAATGTCACACATTTTAAATCTCCAAAGGAACTTTTTCTTCCAATAGGATAAAAAATCTGTTAAACTAATTCTTTATGAAGCTTTAACCCAAATGTGGTAACTCATACACAAGGCCACAAAAAAAAAAAAAAAGAAAAACAAAGCAACCTTATTAAGCAAAAATAGAGCATGAACTGCCAGGTAACATTGCTCATTCTCCCCTCCCTTCCCTTTCCATCCCTGAAAAGCAGTTAAAGGATGTGTTGAGAGCCAGCACAGAGTGATAGAAGACAGGATTATGGGTTTTGAACATTACATGACATTTTTACTTATAAATACTCAGTGGTGAGAATGGTACATAAAACAAGTCGAACAACTCAAAATAAAATAAATTTTAGCTTCTATCAGGGTGCCCATCACAAGCCTATTTATAGTTAATTTTGTACTAGCATGTTTGTGCATAACATGATACTCCGCATGGTGGAAGACCGAAGGATGAAGGTGGGAATGTGCATGTTCCTAAGGACATGCAGATGACCCTACACCATGGCAGAGAAGGTGAGGCGGGCGACAAATGGTCACAGTTCAGAGCATACTTAGGAGCTTGGAAAAATGCCCAAGTGGTTTGGCATAAGTGGAATTTGAGATGTTGGAAGAGATTCCTACCAGGCACCCAGAAGAGTGGGTAAGTTCCAGAGACAGAGTTGGAGGGGATCGTGGCCTGGTTCAGAGCAAGAGAGGGAGAAAGGAGGGGGACAGCAGAGGAGAGGGAGGAAGAGACAAAGGGAGGATCTAAGTTAAAGTCACCTTCATGGAGATGGTTACTGAAAATGGAAATAGTAGCCAAGTAAATTGGTAGAGATAGGAGAGAATAAATCTTGGGAAATCCCTGGGGAGTTAAAAGCCTGGGGTTGGTAAAGTCAAAAGTAAAGAAAGTAGTAAGTAACAGAACAGAGTCACAAAATACAGTGTCTTTTTCTTTTTCTTTTCAAATCAGAAAAGAGAGAAGAGAGTACTTTAATAAGAAGGGATTGTAGGACTCTTAAGTTATGGGTCAAGTTACAGGCGTGACATCATCTTATATCGTAACTTCACAACATTAGTTCTAACAATCCCCAAGGAAAGCATTGCGACCATTGTCATTGTCACCATCCTTACATTTTACAGGAAAGTTTCTGAGGCTCAAAAAGGTGATGATCCCAGTGTTATATAACTAGAACATGGTAGAACTGACACTCAAACATAGACGCGTCTGTCAGCAAAGGTCCTGCCTTTTCCTCTGAAGCCTGGGTACAGATGGACACAGCAATGAATGACTCCCCGAAGCAGAGGAGGATGAGGACCAAGCACAATATTGTACTAGAGTCATCCATGACCTTGCAGAAAGATTTGGCTGGGTCCAGGTGGGGATGTCAGAGAACAACAGAAGGAATTAGAAGGCAGGTTACCTTTTGACGTGTCTGCCAATGGACGGAGGGTAGCTGGAGGCTTCAGGAAGGTCTGCACAGGCCAGGATCAGGTGGTGGAGTCAGAGTGTTGTTAGAATCCTGTTGTTCGTGTCATGTCACCACCATCCGAACAGTGACAGGCTGGCATCAGTCTGAGCACAACAGTGCTAGTGAAAAAGGGAATGAGATCATCTCCTGGGAAAGTCCTGGAGAAGCAGCCCTAGATAACTAGGAGCCATCAGGAGCTTTAGGAAGTTGCTATGGAAACCCTCACCCCCCAGCAGCTACTCTGAGTCTTGCATGTTTTGATCTCACCCAGCTCTGGGATGCATGGCCTTCGAGTACACCACAGTGACAAGATGGAAGTGACCTATTTTAGCAGATAATTCTACTGTGCATGGTTTCTCCTAGACATGTCACCGATGGGCTCCTGAAGGGCACCGATGCAGCCCAAGCCGCACAGTATGTTGCTATGGAAAAGGCCACAGCCGCCGAAGTCTTGAAGAACCAGGAGGAAGCAGCCCATGGCCCCAGCCAGCCCTTCCATGGCACCGGAGTCCCTGGCGATGTGAAGTCGGAAGTGGTGCCTTTGTCTGGCATGACCGTTCACCAGGCGCAGAGCTCTCCTGTGGTCATCCAGCCCTCCCAGCACTCCCTGGCCCTGCTGAACCCTGCCCAGAACTTGCCTGTCGGGACTGGTACCCACACAGCCAACCCTCCTGCAGTCACACAGGAAGTAACCTCTGCACTGCAGTCAGCTCCAGCCCCACAGTCCCCTCAGACACCCACGAATGGTTCCACCATGCAGAGCTTGTTCATTGAGGAAATCCACAGTGTGAGTGCCAAGAACAGGGCAGTGTCCATTGAGGTAGAGTCTTGTTTCCATTTCTCATCACCCCATTAACAGGTCCTTTCCCTGAATGAGTTACAGTCTAATTATAGAGAGAGTGTGTGTATGAATTCATTTGTGGATCAAAGATATATTTTTACCAAAGATAGATTTTTTTTTCTTCAATTGGGGATAGGATTCCATAGCCAAGTTAAGGGAAAGGTCATAAGATTTGAGAAAGATGGCACCTAAACTTTAGCTGGAATGTAAGTCAGTGGTGTGCTGGTAAATATTTAACAACCAGCTCTCTGGAAGAAAGCTCTGATTTGTGGCATTTGCCAATTTCCGTGGTGTACATTTTCCCACCGTGGCAAAATAAAGCTACTGTATGACATCACTGAGCAGGAAATTAGGGACAGAGGTGACCATCAGTTTCCTGAGCCAGTGGGTGCTGGCTTGAGTTTCCCCTGTGCTAAAGGCAGCCTGGGGAGAGTTACTACTGATTCTGAAAGACAGAAGATTCGTGATAAGCAGAGGAGGGGGTTGTGGCACTTTGGGATGGAGGGATGCTGGAGCAGAGGCTGAGTTCATAGTAAGCCTGTTTAACTGGAACCAAGGACATAAAGATGGGGAAATAGATGAAACCAGTTTGAGAAATGTGTGGAGTTTATTTTGAAGGTGTCAGAGAAATAATACTACAGATCTGACCCGTGATTTTTTTAAAAATACCACCTTTAAGAAATTAATCTGGAGACAATATAGAGGATGGATTGTGGTAGTAGGTCTAGAATTAAGGAAGCTGAATGGCAAATTATAGTACTCTAAGAATGAAAAGCAAAGGCAGTCAAAATAGAAAGAGAAAATGATCTTAAGTGAGGGGGCTGGGATCATGGCTCAGTGGTAGAATGCTTACCTAGCATGTGTGAGGCACTGGGTCTCACATAAAAATAAACAAATAAAATAGTGGTATTGCGTCCATCTACAACTAAAAAATACATATATAAAAAAAAAAAAGATCAAGTGAGGGCTGGAAGTATATTTCAGTGGTTGAGCACTTGCTTAGCATATGTGAGGACCTGGGTTCCATCCCAAACACCTCAAAAAAATTAAAGAAAAACCCAACATGTAGAAAAACACACTGTTTTTAAATATTCTTTTTTAAACCCTGTATTTTGCTCCCATAGCTCTTTTTCCTCTTACCTCATATCCTTTCCTTTGTATCCTGTAGCTCAGTGCTCTGTCCCCAGCAACCCAGTCCTAATCCTTCCTGCCTTTCTTGCAAGTCATCAGGGACTAACTCAGGGTGGGTATGTTGAGATGACCTCTTAAAACCAATGTGGCCACAGTCATGACCAGAAATTTGGTAGTGAAAAATATACCTTTGACAGCATTATCCGTGTAGCTTCTCTGTGTTCCAGAATTAAAAGCTGTGCCCCTAATCCAAGTCAGCAATATTTAAAAATTTCTTATTGCCAGGTGCAGTGACACACACCTGTAATCCCAGGTACTTGAGAGGCTGAGGCAAGAGGATTGCAAGTTCAAGGACAGCCTTGGCAACTTAATGAGATCCTGTCTCAAAATAAAAAATAAAAAGCCCTAGGGATGTAGCTTAGTAGTTGAGTACCTCTAGGTTCAATCCCCAGAATTGCAAAAATTAATTAATCAATATTGCTTCTTATAGGATTTTCTGGGCTTTGATTCTGTCCTTAATGCCTGATAGAGAAGCTGGGGAATATGCCCTTTCCTCCTGAGAATTTATAATCTGCCTCTTAAGACATCTCATCACTTTATCTCAATACTTAAAGGGTGTCAGTCTGATGACACTTTTATTTCACAAATATCCATTAAGAATATGGATATTGCTAGGTGGGGTGGCATACACCTCTAATCCCAGAAGTTCAGGAGGCTGAAGCAGGAGGATCACATGTTCAAAGCCAGCCTCAGCCCTAAGCAACTTATGGAGACCCTGTCTCAAAACATAAAAAAAAAAAAGGACTGGGGATGTGACTTAGTTGGTTAAGTGCCCCTGGGTTCAATCCCTGGTACCCTTCCCCCACCAAAAAAATTTCTAAAAGAATATGGATATTTAAGAACTTAGCATAATAATCATTGTGATTTGTATATTTTGTTTTGAGAAGAGAATAAATCATCTCCTAAAAATGCCCTGATCCACAAAAAGGGAGACCTGGGTCTTTCTGTCAGTTTAGCCCCCAACAAGTGGAATGAACCTTATTCATTCAGTAGAGATGCTGAGCCCTACTAGGATCTGGGATAGGCAGTGAACAGAAAGATAAGGTCTGTGTCCTTAAGAACCTTACCTACTTGTAGGGAAACTGAGAACACGTATATGCCATCTGTTAGTAAATGCTAAGAAGAAAAAATAAATGAGAGTACTGATTATATTATATTGAGCAAATTCTTCATCTTACTGGACCCCAAACTCCTACATAAAGTGTGTTGATTCAGTGATCTTTTCCAAATCTTGTATTCTGAGGTTCCACCAGTTCTGGGGCTAATTTCCACTCTGCCTTTCTAGAATGATTAATGAACCATCTGTAATATCACAGGAGAAATGTCCTTTAAAAATATAGGGATTTAAAAATATTTTTAATGTACCTCTGTTATGGAACTTACTGAAGCCAGAAGTCATCCAAAAAAATATCCCCCCACTTAAAAAAAAAAAAAAAAAAAAAACGTGACCAAGAAAGGGTCACATAGCAGTTCTTAGTTCTTAGAAGTGGAACTAAGGATTTTTAAAATCAATTTTATCTTTTATAAACTGACACAAAACATGAAAAGTGTACATATTAACGAAATACTATGTGACATTTCAATACATACATATATATATATATATATATATATATATATATATATATATATATACACACACACACACAGTGTATAATCAGGACAGAACAGGATTATTTTGTTCTTAGTGTTGTGGTTTTTATTTGTTTGCTCATCTCCTCTACAATGAAAACTTACTTTAAAAAGCAAAAACTTACTAATGAAAAACGTACCTTTGACAGCTTTATCTGTGTCCCTTTTTATTCTGTATTGGTAGAAGTAAGTCATAAGGGCTCAGTGATCGTTTAAGAAGTGGGTTTGGGTTTCTGAGCTTGCTTTTCTGTGGATGACTGTCACCTGGGCTGAAATGTCAAGCCATGTAGTTCTAGATGATGTGGCAGACAGCAGAAGGGTCAGGTGGCCAGGACTCGTCTGATGTGTGCAGTTGTCCCTCCAAGGAAAACCGGGACATTATCTTGTCGACATTTTAACTGAGTTTCATGCCCAACTTCAATGTGAAATCTCCAGACTACATTAGCTTTCCCCTCTGGTTTTTAAACTGTCTTCCTTTGCCATTTCCCTTTAGAAAGCAGAAAGGAAATGGGAAGAGAAAAGGCAAAATCTGGACCATTATAATGGGAAAGAGTTTGAGAAGCTCCTGGAAGAAGCTCAGGCCAACATCATGAAGTCAATTCCAAACCTGGAGATGCCACCAGCCTCGGCCCCATTACCAAAGGGAGATGCCCCAGTGGACAAGCTGGAACTCTCAGGTGAGGCTGATCCCAGCCAGAGGTGCCAGTGTGGGGTGTCTTCAGCTCAGAGGAATGTCACTCCCGTGAGCTTGTGCTGGACAACAGGACCAAGGTCTCACTTCTCCAGAATCATATAAAGTGAATCCCCAGGTGTTCCTTAGATCCTTGCTATGACTTTTTACCTCTCACTGTGTCAGGAAGCCATGATGGGTGTTAGGATGCCAGACAGTGTCCAATAAAGAAAAAGGTAATTTTCCTGCTTCTCTATTTCCTCTGAACATATGACACTTAGAGCAGAAGCTGGGAGAGTCTGAGGCCTGCATTTAAAAGAAGAGCTTTTTGTCCACCACCACCCCCACCAGAAAGAAAATGGTGGCTTTCATGAGTTCCCCAGGGAATATTATGTCAATCATCAGGTGAAATTCTACCTTTGAGAAAATTATTAGAATGTATATTTAACCAACTCAATCATGGAAGTTGAAGCATCAGTGTGTCAATACTAACATAAAATACAGTCGTGCACACATAACGTGTGGCCCACAGTGGACCTCACATACCATGGTGGTCCTGTAAGATTGTATCACTGAGTGATGTTGTAGCCATCATGGTTTGTGTAGGTACATCCTGTGATGTTCACATAGTGACAGAATCGCCTAAGAACACATTTCTCAGCGTGTCTCCCTATTTTTAAGTGATGCATGAATATAACTTTAAAAACTCAAACTATAGAATCTTTCACTAATTACAAGGCACATCCCTTACTCGGATCTTAAAATTATGTACAGAGATGTTATTTTACTTGCAGCCTAAAGTCTCTGCCATGTCACATTCGACCATACTTCGTCCAACCATTAAAATTAATTTGAAAAGGAATCACCATCTGGACTTGCTTGTCAAGGAACATTAAGTGGATTGGATTGAAAATTCATGGAATATTCCCTACCACATTTCATTCTCCAAGGCTCCACTCACTGAAACTCCCCCCGCCCAACAGCCTCTGCTCAGAGGCCTCAGTGCCCCTGCCCCACCCCATCCCATATGCCATCTGGATGAGGCCTGTCTGGGGCCCCTGGACAGCCAGGCAACAACTGCTCCGAGAGGGTAGGACCCTGGGAGGGACACTTCTCTCACAAAGATGGCTTGTCTCTCCAAGTCCCCAGGAAGAATTTCTGATAGCTAAAATGACCCACTCATTACGTATTTATCTTGTGGACGTCTGCTCTGCCCCATCATTCATTTTGCCTTACCGTTCTTTGATGTTTTATATAGTTCTCATAATTTTTCCTTCTTGCATTTATACAATAAAAATATAACATCAATTTTATTAACGTGCCTCATTTTCCCTTTTTATTCTCTCAGATTGAAAAGGGTTTTGCATAAATGTTTTAAGTAACTCCCAAGAATATTTTTACTTAGTTAAAATGTTCTATTATTTACTGTTATATTTTTTATTACTGTTGTTGTTTTTAATACTCTGATTCCTTCTCAGAAATAATCCACTAATGTGCAGGCCTCTAGAAATGTGTGACCAGAAATTAATGTTGATTTATAATACTGATTTCTATACTTACTGCCTCCTTTATTTATTTTTTTTTTTTTTTAGCAGAAAGAATCTTTTTCAACCACGTAACCATGACCTTAATTTTTAAAAAATAATTCACTTTCTCTCTGGCTTTGTCCTTTGTCCCCACTTGTCTGATCTCCTCTCTGGCCCTCCCTCAGCTAGATCCTACTCTAACATTCCCCACACACCCCTCTTGATACATCTGTCTTTTCACTGAGGGACTGAAGATGTTGGAGGACACATGAGGCATTTTGGAATTACCTTTAGTTCCTCGTTTTTCCAAGTGACAATCAGCTTTTTTGTGTCATTAAAAATTAATTTGATAATGAATACCCATTCAATAGATGAGAAAACTGAGACACAGAGAAGTTAGGTCATTTGTGCAGGGTCTTTCTGAGATTTCAATCCAGTTGATCTTTGGGATCTATATGCTTAATCATTGCTATATGGGAAAGACAAAATTTTTAAGTCAGTATTCTTTAAACTTATAGCAATACACTGGACTTTTTGAACATTATCTTGAAAAAAAAAATCACGACGGCACATTGTTTTCCAGAAGACTCACCAAATTCAGAACCAGACTTGGACAAGCTGGGGGGAAAGTCACCCCCTCCCCCTCCTCCACCTCCTCGGAGAAGTTACCTGCCTGGATCGGGGCTCACTACCACGAGATCTGGTGATGTGGTCTACACTGGCAGGAAGGAGATCACCACTACCAAGGTCTGACGGGTTGATTCCTAGTAAACTGGTTTTGGGGCGCAATGATACCCTTAGACAAGATGCTCTGTGTTCAAACATAAAAGCAGTGATGTGGAGAAGAGAAATAGAACCTCAACTAAACTAAATGCCCAAGGAGTGCCACAGGTGGGAAAACCCAGCTGATGTGACTAGACTAGACTCACATCACAGGTTTTATCCTGACCTGACTTTTCACTGCATTGATTTAAGCGTGAATCACAAGCTGTCACAGGCCTGGTGGCACATCCCTGTAATCCCAGTGACTTTGGAGGCCAAGGCAGAAGGATCACCAGTTCAGAACCAACCTCAACAACTTCTCCAGGCCCTAAGCAGCTCAGCAAGACCCTGTCTGTAAATAAATTACAAAAAGGGCTGGGGATGTTGCTCCGTGAGTGGTTGAGCACCTCTGAGTTCAATCCCCGTTACCAAAACAAAAAATAAGTCATAAACTACTTCCCAAACAGGAAGATTGAAAATAGGGGAAGAAGGGGGAGTGAAAGGAAGGTGTCTTACAAAGGTATCGGCTTAGCTGACACAAGTGAGGGGTTTATACAGAAAGATGTTAAGTGAGCTATAGCTCCCGCTTAGCTTGGCAAGTTTTGTCACATTAAATGTAAAATACAATTTCCAAGGAAATGGAGGATGGGAGACGGCCTTTCTTAAAAGGCCTGGATGCTGAGTTTGATTTTATTACAATTCTTCAATCCATTTACCAAAATGACGACTTGTCAAAATGAAAACCCAAACTAGCCTTTCAGCTAAGTGTGAAGATCCAGGAAGCCAAGGGATCAGATGACGAGGGATCCTGTGAATCTGTCATTTTTTTGCTGGTACCTAAGAGGTGTTAAGCCATTATCTGTGGTTTGAATTTCCCACAGGCCAGTGGTGAAGATGTTGGTTCAAGCCCACAGACAAGAGCCACAAAATGTCCAGCAGAAGAGCCTGCTTCAGCCTGGGCCCCATCCCCTCCACCAGTCACTGCATCCTCCTTGAAAGATGAGGAGGAAGAAGAAGAAGAAGGAGACAAAATAATGGCAGAACTCCAGGTATGTGAGTGAAGTGACTGCCATTGACTCTCTACCATCTCATCCAGGACTCTCTAGACACGGCTTTCATAGATTTGTTAGCTAGAGAAGGCTGGGGAAGGGCCCCTGGAGCTAGGACGCATAAGCTTCATCCTCTAGCCTTGGCCTCCACTTTTCCAAGATGGCATCATACCAGGCTCTTGGGGTGCCTGTAAGACATGTGAGGAATCTCACAAGTGATGTTGAGCATCTTTGTCAAGAATCTGTTTGCTATGTAATTATCTTCTATGGAGAAATGACTATTCAAGTAATTTTCCCATTTTAATAGGGTTATTTATTTTATTATAATTGAATCATTTCAGTTGCTTATTATATATTTTGCATATCAGCCCCACATTTGATACATAACTTGCAAATGTTTTCTACCAATCCATAAAATTTTATCTTACCCTATTAATTGTTTCCTTTGTTGTGAGAAAGCTCTTTACTAAAATCTCATTAGTATATTTTTGCTTTTGTTACTTGGGTTTTAGGATCTTAGAAAATAAATGTATGCCCAAACCAAAAAAAAAAAAAAGAAAAGAAAAATCATTTGTACACCTCCCTAGCACTGGCCATAGGATTTTCTTTCTTTTCCTTCTGTCTTAATAGTCTTTGCTTCATCCCAAAAGCAATTAAGATGGTGATTAGTAACACCAGCCATTGTCTTGCCTTGATAAGGACTGACTGAAGCACACTTTAGGTGGATCCTGTTCTTTGGCTCTAACCTTTAGAGTGACCAGTTTTGAGTCATGCCAACGAATGACCACCTGTAGTTCATACCAGTTTCCTGTTCTACGTGAATATCATCTTGTCAGATATTCTGAAGAGCTGAAAAAAATGTGCTCTGCTTTTGCTTTGGCCTGTTTGAGAAATGATATTTTATTAGCTTTACATGCTTATTACTTTTTCACTCATAGGATTAAGGATGGGATACAGGAATTATACCCAAAACTGATATCTCACATTCTAATCATAGATAAGAATCTTCCCTAAGAGTGTGTTCTAAAAACTTGTCTAATTGGAGACACATACACAATTCCCAGACTAAACTCTGAATTTTGTTGGACTCCTGAGTATTATAGGATATTTCCATCTATCAGATAGTCACACCTCTTGGGGCTCCAGAACATGTCATTTCCCCCCCTGCACCAGTGGGGCTGTGCAGGCCCATGGATTCTCCTTCTTCGTTTGGAGTAGGGAGTCTTTCAAATCATGTCGTTTTCACTACTAATTTCCATGGTAATAACTGCCGGAATTGAGCTGCTGGATTTTATAGGGAAAATAGGATTCTCAATTGTTCTGTCATGTGCGTAAACCCTTTTGAGCCTTAGTAAAACTCAGACTGGCCTGGGACATCCCTTCACCAAATAAGACTGTTTTCAGGGTTTTAGAATGATTGGAGCATATAGATTTGTAAAGTGAATAACTTGTAGATTTGTGAATAATCCAGGTTTAAGCCATTTAAGAGAAGTCATACATTTATTGTAGTCACTTCCAACCTGCCACTTGGGAATGCCTCCCTCCACTGAATCTTAATCTTTGATGCCCTCTTTGATGACCACTTTTCATTACATGGAGTATCTGGCCTCTGGCCCCATGGTGGATAGTCATTTAACTGTGATTAATGACGTGCTGTGACCCTAACTCAGCCAAGCCCTGTTGGCTCTCCTGCTGGGACAAAGAACCAACCTTCTAGGCCAGTGGCCAAGGGCCTTGATGGTTTCTTTGCCTCTTCCTCTAGAATTAGATCCTGGGCAGGATGAGGAGACTCTGCAGCCCCCTCTAAGAGCATCACCAGGCATCAGAAGAAAACACAGGCTCTGAAATCCAGCCCAACAGAGATGGCGAGTAGATTCAGTAAGCAAGGCTATGGGCAGGCATTTAAGCCAGGGATTCTCAGGCGAGCCAGGACTGGCTTTCTGTGAGGTAGCAGGGAAAGCAGGGGGGCAAGAAGAGAGAAACAAGCAGAGCCATGGGAGAAAGTGCAGAGGAGGCTCTCACCATCAGCTATATTTGGACTTTAGGACCAGTTCTGGAATGTTAGTATAGAGAAGACACCAGTTCTCCTTTCTGCCTGCCAACTTATTTCCAAACGGCTGTATTTGACATAAAGAAAATACTAGACAATTATTTGAGATGATGTATTTATATAAGGGGTTTATTTGTTTGTTTGTGGAGGTTTTTGTTTGTTTGTTTTTGGCAGGGCTAGGGGTCAAACCCAGGGCTTCATGCATGTTAGACAAGTACTCTAGCACTGAACTACACCCCCAACCCTACATAAGTGATTTTCAATCCTCACTGTACTTTAGAATTATTTGGGGGATTGGAAAAGGCCCAGATATTTTGATTTATTTGTTCTCTGGAAGAAGCCTTGGTGATGGTCCTTTTCCCCAAAACTAACTGGTTGAAAATTCATGAACTTGGGTTCCTGAGTCCTCAACTCTCTTGCTGTCATGGTCAAAGTGTCAGGAATCTCTGGGGATGTCCACTTCCTTCTCAGCCCTCTAGTCACAGTCATTACTTTATTTCTTTGCCAGGGAACTGGCCTCCCTGAGTCAGTGTCCACATAGCCAGCCTCTGGCTCCCAGGGTGGCAATGGTTAGTTTTCAGAGGCAGATCTCCAGGGCTCAGGCAGCTCCCTGGCCATGTGGAAATGCATGTGTGGGTGCTGAGGAGGGTCATTTCATTGTAAATGAGCCTCAGAGCAGGGTAGGACCTGTTAACTATTTCAGAGAATGGATTAGTAAAAATTACTTTTAAGGTTTAAAATGTCCTGTGAGCTTCTTCCTATAATACAATAAAATTGTTTTTTTTTTTTTAAAAAAAAAAAAAAGGAATAAAGGAAAAGATCTTTTTGTTTTAATTCACTTACATTCAATATCTTGCAAAGGTCAGAGCAAGAAACCCTGCAAAGTGCAAATCAGGTTCACCCATACAAAAGAAAGGGTGTTCCTCTCCTTTTTTTTTTTTTTTTTCTTTTTGGTCCTGGGGTTTGAATCCAGGGTCTCATGCCTGTCAAGTATGTGCTCAGTCATAAGATACACTCCCAGCCCCAGGGTGTTCCTCTAAAGGGCTTGGCCATTTTATCTTGGTGAGGATGTCCCAGACGTTCACCCCTAAGCCAACTGTTCTGCTGACTTGAGGGCCCGTGGAGAGCAGGATTTCAGGGTGCTGCTTCCCTGCTGCGACTGCAGGCAGGACCCCAGTGCTGGGATTCCTGAGCTTCTGGATTCCTGCCTGTTTCCTTCTTCTCTGCCTGGTATACTTGGACCCCTGTTAACCTCACTATTTTAATTCCTTAGGCATTCCAGAAGTGTTCCTTTATGGAAGTAAATTCAAACAGTCATGCTGAGCAGTCCCGGGTTGACAGTCACGCTAAAGACACTAGGCCAGGCGCCACAGTGCCACCCAAGGAGAAGAAGGTAACAACGTGGCAATTATGCATTTGCCACATGGTCAGACAGCCCTTTCTTCCTTGCTCTGACACTAACACGGCTCTCTTGCACTTGACCTTCTTGCCCTCTGTCTCCTTCTCTCTGCCTTTTTTTTTTTTTTAACTAATAGAGACACAGGTTTAGGTTGAGATCAGAGATACCTGGCTCAGGTTTCGAGAGTAAACATCATGTGTCTATGCCCAGCATATAATAGTATATGCAAAAGCTAGGCAATATCTTTCCAAACTAAAGACTATTAGATTTTCTAGAACAACTCTAGAAAGGAGAAAAAATAGCAACCAAATATATAGAAGTTTTCCAACTTTTAACATGTCTTCTGGACCAAAAAAAAAAAAAAAAAAAGACAGAAAGAAACTATATTAAAAATAGGTGAAAGCCTTAGACTCAGAGAAGATCTGCATAACAGAAAATACCTCAGTCACATATGTATAAATATGGAATCATAGAACCTATGAGTATTTACACAAATGTCCAAGAATGCCCAACAAAATCTTTGTGAAGTATTACCAGTTTTTAAAGTGGGTCTTCTAAGATACACTTATGAGATAATTTTAGCACTGAACTATATTTGTAGCTTCTAAAAGATTGTCCAAGCTTAAAAACAAAGCAGCTGTCAATGCATACATACTTTAGAGAAAGGATATTAACCTGGACTTTGGAGCTGAAACTTTAAATTGGATCTAGAGCACTTATGATTTGGGGGTTTCAAGCCATCTTATTTTAATGAAGACTCTTGTCTAAATATCAGGATAAAAAGCTTAACCAACTCAAGTCCTAACAGTTCTCACCAGGAACTTATATATCAGAATTCAGGGACTCAAAGTTTCCCTTAAATAAAGTCAAACTAATCAGGTGCAAGATAGCACCACAACTTCTCCAACTGGGATCCTTGGTCCATATCTAAGTGAGGGAGATGGCACGTCACAGTGTCTGAGGGCTGGTCTGACAAAGCCTTCAGGAAATCTGCTCCTCTCTGGCTCACAGCCAGCATAGAGCCCTTGGGTGAACCACATCTGCCGCATAAGGGACATATAAAATTGCTACCAGGGGAAGGAGAATCCTCTCCACCAGGGGGAGATCACAAGAATATTGATAGATTCTCATGAAGAAACCCTCCTCCTAATTTGAACTCAGAGTCACATCAGAAATAATATTGCTTTTTCATGTGAAATTTTCTCATGTGGAATTTTCTTATGTGACCTTATTAAAACTAACTCATGGGTGGCCCTGGCATGACCTAGCGTGGCATATTTGGGACAATGCAACCATTTCTGTCTAAAACACTGACTGGGAACTTGGAACTTCTCAAGGATCCCTTCTGAAAGAGGCAATCATTGATTTATTAACTTGAACTTTTCAGTTTGGCTAGAATGTTGCATGAGATTTCTTGTTTTCCATAATTAAAAATCCATATCCCATTCATTTATCACAACCAAGGATCTTTTGGAAAACCAGCAGGTCTATCTTGAGTGTCCAGCACTGGGTTTAATTGCAGGTACTTTTTCTGGATCATTCTACTCAGATATAGATTTACTTCATAATAACCATAAGTTTCAAATTTATCTTCCAGTTTTGTCATTATTAACCTCTACCTGGACTGTTCACCTGTCCCATAAATGAAATGTTTTCCTCTTATTATCATGAAGCTCTAGCCTAATACTTTGCTTTTATGCAATTTTCTTGTAACTATGTCTCTAATTTTGGTTTATTGTCCATTTGCATATTGAGTATGGTTCTCCAGTTATGTAAGCAATCTAACCCTTGGGGCCTAGAAACATATTAGAGTCTTGACCTTCTAAGACTAAAAAAATCAGCTTCCATTTACATGACACTTTTGACCCAGTGTCACACTTGCTTTGATACATTTATTCCTTTTTCTAGATCATGATGAAAATGATAGTTCACTTGAAATGTATCCTCAAAACCTTTTTTAAATATGGTTTTAGTTGTTGATGGTTTTTTTTTTTTTTTTTTTTTTTTTTTTTGATATACAATGATGAGAATTGAACTAGGCAAGCACTCTACCACTGAGCCACGACCCCAGGCCTCCTCAACACCTTTAACATGATGACTTTCCACCTGGTTATTTCTGCTAATAAATCAACATCAAAATACATGTTCTGCAGGGTGACATTGGAAATATTTAACATGGGTGTGGCATGGACCCCTGAACAATCAGGACAGATACCCCAATAAATGGGAGCAGGAAGACACCCCAGTCTGGCATATGTCTTCCTAATATTATATGCCAATCCCTTCTTTGATTCAGAGAGTAAATTCTCACTCAGGTCCTAGCATAATACGCTAACTCCATATTTGGAGTTGAACCTTAGGCCAGAACTTTATTTTTTTAAAAAAGCCATGCACTTGACATGTTAGTTGTCTTATAATCTGAACATTTTAAATCCCATAAGAGAAACTGTATGGTTCAAATTTCAGCACTGCCCTTCTGAGGGGGGACTTCAACATGAGGACATGCAGAAGTTAAAACAGGAGGTGTTGGGTGGCTAAATGTGCCTTGTGGATATTTCTGTGTGTAATTAACTTTGCCATGTGTGTTATTCCTTGAGTATATGTGAACATTCTTTCCATTTTTATATAGGGACATAGGACTGCTTTGAGTTGAGTTTGGCCCAGCCTGGGTTATTGGCTTTATTACCCTGTCATTGGTTTAACCAAATAATCTTCTTCGGGATTGTGTTGCACCCTGTGATAACTACCATTTCCGTTTGGGCTTCCACAGCAAGAAGGGGCAGCAGTGCTTTGGAAGCCACAAGGCATCACTAGTGTCCAGGTGGTGGCATGGCCTGAGGCTGCTCATACAGTCAAGCTGGTGAGGTTGTGCTTCTAGGGGAAGCTCCATTATTACCTGCAGCCTCACTGTTGGGCCCTTTAGTCTGAGCCTTAGTGAGACCCTCAGAAATGTACCTTTGCTCTACACCATAAAATGTAGAGAATAAAAGTTGCATGGTAATATACAGAGAAGTAAAGCTGAATCATGATGTCACTGTCACTGTCTTAGCTTAATATATCTGTTTTGTGTTTAGATAAAAGTCATGCACCACATAACAACATTTTGGTCCACAGGGGACCTTATATACAATAATGATCCTGAAAAATCCCTGTCCCCTAGCAACATTCCCTGCACCCATAAGGTCATTGCACAGCCCATTACTGCCCTATTTGTGGTTCTGGTGATGGAAACAGACCTACATGTAAAGGCATAGCACACACAATTATGCATAGTACGTAATACTTGATAATAAACAACTGTTGCTGGTTTATGTATCTTCTAGACTATGAATACCTATGTATCTTTTTTTCTAATTTTTTTTTAGTTGTGGTTGAACACAATACCTTTATTTTATTTATTTATTTTATGTGGTGCTAAGGATCGAACCCAGTGCTTGGCATGTGCTAGCAAAGTGCTCTACCCCTGAGCCACAATTCCGGTCCCACCCCTGTACCTTTGATACTTTGTATCATTACTTTAGTGTGTGCTTCTGTTTATTTAAAAAATGTCACAGTAAGACAGCCTGGCCTATCGCCACTGGTAGCAGCCTCATGTCTCTTGATGACATCAAGAGGCCACACTGAGTGGATGATGTACCCTCTAGGTTTGAATAGGCACACTCTATCACACAACAACAAAATCACCTAATGATGCATCTGTCACAATGGGTCCCCATCGTTAAGTGATACATGACTGTATTTTGTGGCAGCATTTTCACTGTGAATTTGGATTTGACTGTCTTGGCTATTAATTTGAAGGTTATTTTGACCCCTTGACACCTGCGTAAAAACTGCAAAGACATTTTCAATCTGTCATTTGGCCAGGGAAAAATAATGTTGTTGTTGTTTTTCCAATTCCAAAGCACCATACCTAATCAATGCAGAAGTCTTTATAGGACAATTTTCACAGAAGCAGAAATAGGACTGAAATCAAGCTGGAAGGGACATTTGAAATCTCCTGGTCTTACTCCTCAGTTTCTAGGCAAGAAAACGAAGGTGCAGACAAGTGAATAAATATCTTGCCTAAAGTCATATAGTTAAGAGAAAGATCTGGATTAGAATCTGAACACACTGCTTCTCCATACGCTGTGCTTTCTGCAATTCTGGCTCCAGATTCAACTAAGATCACAGTCAGAGGTTGAAAAGAAGTTGTATTGATTGGTCCCCCTATTCATGTAAATGATCCCCCACAAAATTTTAAATACTTGAAATATTTTGCTAATTGAGACTTTCATCTTGTGCAAACACAGGGCATTTTTGGAAGTTGGAGAACAAAGCAATCCCAGGTAAACAGAGCCATAGGCTCTGGATTGGCGTGTAACCAATTGTGCTTGACCAGCATGTTTGGAAATGTTAATTAAAGAAACAATTTAGTTATAGTCCACTTTGGGGGGGATGTGGTTTTGTGGAGTAACATGTCCTACACTATTCTACCAGAATTTGGAAATTTTCCATGAAGATGTACGGAAATCTGATGTTGAATATGACAATGGTCCCCAAATGGAATTACAAAAGGTGAGTTCGCCACATCTGTGCTCCAGCTGATAACCATGCAGATAATTACCTTCCCTTGCAGATCCATTGCTGATTAATGTGTGTGGTTTTCCTCCTCCACTCTTGCTTGCAGGTTACTGCAGGGGCTCTAAGACCTAGTGACCCTCCTCAGTGGGAAAGAGGAATGGAGAATAGTATTTCTGATGCATCCAGAACATCAGAATATAAAACTGACATCTTAATGAAGGAAAATTCCATTTCCAATAAGAATTTATATAGAGACAGTAGAAACTATTCCCAGAAAAATATGCCAAAGGTCAGTTTCAGCTTCTCTGGCACGAACTCATTAGAAGACGAAATAAACCAAGGGCCCAAAGACTCAGGACTGCAGTACCCTGAGAATCAGAAGTTGAATTACGGAAAGACAAAGGAGATGGGTGAACGAGGACCGGAAAATACAGATAAGTGTCCCGTTCCCTCCTCTGCCAGATCAACAGAATTGAATAGTCATGACATCAGAACACAAGATCAAGATGGGCTCATGACAAATATTAGCCAAGTTGTTCTAAGACCCAGAGGGACGAGGCATGGAAACCTGAATCCTCCTGATGATGGAGACTCAATTCCAGGTTCTCCCACTGAAGAAAATTCAGCCACTGACAACATCGCCTTCATGATCACCAAAACCGCTGTCCAGGTGCTGTCCAGTGGGGAGGTCCATGATATAGTGAGCCAAAAGGGACAAGATGTGCAGACAGTCAACATCGATACCAAGAAAGAGACGACCTCCCACCCAGAGGTGACTGAAGGCGAAGAGCCGGTCGTGTGCCTAGACAAGAAACCAGTTATCATCATTTTTGATGAACCCATGGACATCCGGTCTGCATATAAGAGACTTTCCACCATCTTTGAGGAATGCGATGAGGAATTGGAGAGAATGATGACGGAAGAAAAGATAGAGGAGGAGGAAGAAGAGGAAAATGGAGACTCCGTAGTCAAGAATGATGCTTCCGACATGTTTCCTACGCAGGTTGCCTCAGGAAGTCTGATTGTGGGACAGCAGACAGAGATGAAATCGAAGCCACTCTCCCTATCAGCAGAGACCAAGCCCCCGGCAGGACAGGCCATGAACCAAACGGAGCCGAGCAAGTTGAGCCTGGCAGATTCTCCAGATTCCGAAAGCAAAGGGGACGTGGCCGAGGACCAATTTGAAAGCCCCAAGAAAAAATTTAAATTCAAGTTCCCTAAAAAGCAACTTGCTGCTCTCACTCAGGCAATCCGCACGGGAACCAAGACGGGCAAGAAGACCCTGCAGGTGGTGGTCTACGAGGAAGAGGAAGAGGATGGCACTTTGAAACAGCACAAAGAAGCCAAGCGATTCGAAATCACCAGGTCTCAACCTGAAGACACCCTGAAAAATATGGCCAGGAGACAGGAGCAGCCCAGTTTAGAGAGCACAGTTCAGGTTTCAAGAACTGATGAAATTAGGAAAAATACCTACAGAACATTGGACAGTCTGGAGAAGACCATCAAACAGCTTGAAAGTACGATCAGTGAAATGAGTCCCAAAGCCTTAGTCGAGACCTCGTGTTCCTCCAACAGAGAATCTGTTGCAAGCTCATCCCACACAGCCCACGAGGCCCCTCCCCGAAACTTGCTAGTTCTGGATGAAGCCCCCCCTGCCCTAGAGCCCCCCACGTCAGTATCTTCAACTTCACGTAAGGTATCTTGGTCTGGTGGAAAATGAAAAGACCCAGCTGCTTTTCTTAAATCTGCCATAATCACCATTAGCCAAAGGTGTCTTGTGATTTAATTGCTTCCTTTCAGGTGGCTCGTGGTTTTTTTGTGTGTGTTCGCCATGATCCCCTTCTCTCATCCTTTCTCACCTTCAAAACAACAACAACTAGGTGTCTAACAGCTAATTGATTCTGTTTTTACCTCTGTTGCTGATTGGTGTCGGGTAAACGTCCGGATGCTGGGTCAGCCATTGGCTCTGGAAATGATTGCTCTGATACTCACATTAAAATCCGTTTGATCAGTAGTGAGCAGTTGATTCTGTTTGATTCTTCCAATTAACCCACGTTGGTGTCTCCTAGATCTGTCCTGCATGTAGGGCTCTGGCTTCTCCCCTTGGCCTTCTCTGCGCACAGTGGGGGCAGCCTTGGTGATGATCCACTCACGTGCTTCTCTTTCTCTTCCCCCTCTCGCTGGTCCTTCCCACAGGGCTCCAGTGGGACCCCACAGACAAGCAGGATGCCCGTCCCTATGAGTTCCAAGAATAGACCCGGAAGCCTGGACAAACCTGGCAAGCAATCCAAACTGCAGGATCCTCGCCAATATCGTCAGGTAGTTTTACCTTAAACCCAATTTTGGATGGACATGATTTCCATTTTGAAGCAAGTCACTGACTTAGTTTATACCAAATACTATGTTTTCTTTGTAAGCTATGGTTTACAGTAGACATTCTGGATCTGGGGGCATGAAGAAAGTCTAAAAAAAAAAAAAAAAAAACCTTTGTTAAACTTTTCACCACGCTCTTGCATGCTTGCAATAAAACATCATTTACTTTGTGACTCCAAATTTTAACTGTTAACACACGGTGCCAGACCAGTTGAATTTCCGTTGGTGAATGTAGTGCTTCATCAAGAACACGTTGGGAAGCAGAGACAAACCAACCTGCTGTTGAACTGCCCTTAAAGTCACCAATACTAACGTCTGTGTTGACTGCATCTCTAGGAGTACATTAACTCTCCCATCAAAGTGTCCCACCCAAACCCAATAATAATCCCAATGCACGGCCAACCTTGCCCACAGGAAGTGGTAGTTGGAGTGACGTGACATGCTTTCTTCCTTTCCGTCTGCCTGGACATCCTTTGCTATGTGGTTGGACTGGGGTGGGAGGTTGGGGTGGTGGTGGTGGTGGGGATCTGCCAGGTCTAGAAAAGCACAAGACTTAGTTCAGGCCTTGAACTATTTTGTTATTCTTTTATTGGATGAGTCTCAGAAGGGCTGTGTTGCCAGGCCCTGTGGGCTGATCGTGTTACCAGCTTTCTGATAAACTGTCTTCCGCCATCTTTGTTTGCAGGCTAATGGAAGTGCTAAGAAAGCTGTTGGGGACTGTAAGCCTACTTCCCCCTCCTTACCTGCTTCTAAGATTCCAGCCCTTTCCCCCAGCTCTGGGAAAAGCAGTTCTCTGCCCTCTTCTAGTGGTGACAGCTCTAACCTTCCTAATCCGCCTGCTACTAAACCATCGATTACTTCTAACCCTCTCAGCCCTCAAACAGGACGATCCACTCACTCCGCCTCCCTCATCCCTTCTGTCTCTAATGGCTCCTTAAAATTTCAGAGCCCCCCTCACACAGGTAAAGGTCACCACCTTTCATTCTCACTGCAGACTCAAAATGGCCGAGCAGTCCCTCCTTCCTCTTCCTCCTCCTCCCCTCCCTCCCCTGCCTCCCCGACCTCCCTCAGCCAAGGTGCCAAGGGCATCAGGACCATCCATACTCCCAGCCTCACCAGCTACAAGGCACAGAATGGAAGTTCAAGCAAAGCCACCCCTTCCACAGCCAAGGAGACCTCTTAAAGGCCAAATCCTATTAGGCCCAAGTTGGAGTTACATATTTTGTTTTGTTTTGTTTTTCATTTTTAGCAGTCTGCAACAACTGTTTTCACAAGAGAATGTAACATATTGCTGTACTGTTTGAGGCTTAATGACAAGTTTGTGCTAAATACTGGATTAATAGATCTCGGTAAAGCTTGTTTGTTTTTTACTTTGTTGCTGTTGTAACTACGTAGTGTTTACTGTCTAGAATGACACCTGTCAAATGGAGTGAGCATGTTGCTACCAAAAAGAGAGTTTGGAGAGCGGACAGGGTGTGTGAGAGATGGGGGAAACTGTATTAAGCATGTAAAACATGTATGATTCCAGAACTTTAGTATGTTTTGTATAAAAATATTTTTCATTACGGAGACTAGAAGTGAACAGAGAAATACACAAGTGTGACTATATAAATTGTAAAACAGATACTATAATATTTCCTTTTATTTTAGTGTTATTTAGCTTTATTACAGATTTCTATTTTTGTCAAAACTTCATGGTTCCTTTCAAGATCTTTTTTGCCAAAACATTTTGATACTATAGCATTGTACATTTGAAAGTAGTGTGCTAGACTCTAAGCCAATGAACTTCTACGCAAGCCAATAGGGAGGCTTCTGTAGAAAGCAGTTTATCAAAACTATTGCACTGCCATTAAAAGTATGTATAATAATTTGCTAGCCCAAGTAAGCTTGTTTTCTTTGCTTTTTTTTTTTTTTTCTTTTCTTTTTGTTTTTCTTTTAAACATGTTGAGATTCTCTGGTTGTTTTCTTTACAGTTTCGAACCCCTTCCTTCGTTTTCTGAGACCTGGTAACCCACACTATTGCATTGTGGATTTTAAAATGTACACTTCTGTACGGTTCTGTAAACTGATCAACTTTTGTAAATATATAAATAGACAAAAATACTGTATGTGATAGCACATAGAGTAGTTTTCCCACACCAAAGTTAATTTTTATGCATGCTTTAAGAAGATATATTGGAATGGGCAGAAATGGGGCTATCCATACATTTTTAAAAAGCAACGAGTTTGCACAGCTAGAGTGTTTTGTAAATAAATGTATTTGTATAACACAGTCATGTAATATACAGAACTATGAGCAGAGACTTTGCAAAACTAAATAAAGGGCTGCATGCTTATTATTTTTTGTACCTTGTCACTATAACTACTTCCGAGTCTAAGAACAAAATGTAACTATTACCAAGTTAAGTGTTTTGGGCTTTGAGGGCATTATAAGTAACATGTAACTCAACAACCTCTCAGACAACACTGCTTTTCTGAAAACTCTGGGGTGACTAATGATGAGTTCCTAATAAATTAAATGCAAGTGTCGTAACTTGTATGTAACCTGCCGACTCACTCTCTTCTTTGTGGCTTCTCAAGGTTTGGCTAAGAGAAAGCAAACCTGGTTGCCTGCCGAGTTTCCACCCTCACTTCCTGGAGAGCCTCTTACTTCTTTCTCTGTTTTCTTACATTTCCGGTAGAAGTAAAATAGAAATAAAATGACTTTACCACTGAGATTTATTTTTTGAGTTCTCAATTGGAAAAAAAAAAATGACGTTAGTCTAGAGGGAAATATACTAGCAAATACCACACTATTGTTTTCATTTTTAAAAAATAGGAAAGTTGGTGAAAACACCAAAATTATGAATTGACTACAGAAACAAACTTAGGAATCTGCTTATCATTCTTTTCCTCCTCCAAAATACTTAATTTGGTGGCTTGGTGTAAACTGGGAAGTCTTACTTACACTTTAGAACCCAGTTGTATGATCCCAAACCTCAGAGTTCCTGAGCTGGGATGCTTTCACGTGAAACACTTTCTTTTGTCTCATCACGGTAATGGTAATCACATGTGTTAGCACTTAGCAAGCATTTAGGTATAAAAGGTTGCCACATTTCAGTCATTTCCCCTGGTCTCACTACATTAAATTTATATGTGTATATTGACTACTATAATTATTTTATGTAATATATATATATACACACACACACATACACATTAACTAGCGAGTCTATGCCAATGTATTTGCTTCTCTCTATGAAGAGAATTCTCTGTGAGCAGCTAAATAGCACACTGTGGCTCACGTTTCCAGTTTGACCTCAGACTTCCCATTACTTCGGCAAGGTCATGCAGGTAACAGTTCATTTCAGCCAAGGTAAGGCTGCAGGACAGAGCCCTTCTCCAGGTAAGGGACAGCTTAGCTCAGATCCATGATCTCCCCTGACTGCTGCTTCCTCCTCAGCAAACTGGAAACTGCCGGAGTGCAGATCCCAATCCAGGTGTGCACAGGCCGCCTATGACCACACCGACCAAAAAGGCACCCGTCATAAACTGTGTGCCTTGACTTTCCTGTTTTAGTCTGAGATACCTTGTAGGAAGCCCAGGGGCACCCTGTCACCTTTGGCCCAGTGAAGACTTTCCCTCCCCACGTGGTTGTTTGCAATTAACCCCCCATTTGCTCCTCATCTCTCTGACCTAAAACTCAACTCACAGCAGCTGACCATGGTAAGCCTCACGGGCAACACCAGAAACATATAAATAAGTTCCCCCTTCCTACATTTTCCTCAAACCAGCCAGTCCACACCCCCACGGGAAAGCCCAAGACAGAGCAAGCCCACAGGCCTTGATAAGGACATGGACCCTCACCCTCTCTCGCTTGTCCCCATCTGCCTACGGAGCTCTCTGCCGCTTCCAGGCTTCCTGTCAGCTCCCATCTGCTTCCGAACCTCTCTAGGATCTGTAAGTAATGAATTTCTTTTGTTTTGTGCATTTTGATCCTTTGTGTCTCACCTGAACAACCCCCGACCCTAGCCAACCCCACCTCCCATCAGGACTCTCTAGAGTTACTTGGCTCATGGCCACTCCCAAGAGACCCCCCCAAAAAAAAAACAGAAAGAAACTTTTTAACAAAAAATGACAGCTTCACCTCAGTCACTTGAACATCAAAAGTGTGTGATGTTAGGCAGGATGAACTGCTGCATTTCCAGATTTTTTTTAATTCTTAACAGACTCACTTAAGGGAGAGTTTGTCATTTAACGAATAAATCTCTAGATCTAAAAAAAAAAAAAAGCTTAGAAATAAACTAGATGAGCTCTTCAGAATCATTCAGTATCAAGTCACTGAGCCACCTTGCTGAGTGCCTCTTGTGCAGAGGGCAGGACAGCAGGTAGGGGGTGACTGTGACCTGTGACGTCAGTGCTGCTTCCTGGTTGTGCAACTTTGAGCACATTTTGCTTTTGTCCTCTGTCAATAAAGGAACCTACCTGATAGGATTATTGGGAGAATTAAATACAGGACTCTTAGACTGAGCCTAACACTTAATGCTTCTCCACAAAGGTTAGGATTACAGTGATCACAGTTGTGATGGTGGCTGAGGCTCCTGGCCTGGATGAGGGTGGCGGGGGAGCATGAACATGCTTCACATGTGAGGTGGATGCGCCAGGCTGAGTTCTAAAGGTTGGCTGCAGGAGTCCAGAGCAGAGGTCTTTTCTAGTATTTCATGGCGGTGGTGGCATTTGGCCCTCAGGGGTCTTTTCTCACAGAACCTTTAACAGTGTTGCAACATTACAGAAGCTGCTTGTCTTTTAGTGCTGCTTGCTACTAGAATTTTTTCCAGTGTAAAACAGACATTGACACAAACTTGGAGAAAAGCCAAGGCCCTGGGAATCATGGCCACAGAAAAGCAATCTTCTGTGGAGTTGCCTTCTCAGGCTAGGGAGCAGGTGCTCCCAAATTGCCCATCTAGATGCCCAGATGGTGCCCATCACTGGGCAGAGTGCCAGGAACAAGACCCACAAGGAAAGAAGACACATCCACTGGGCACAGACAGCAGGTTTAGCCATCACCCACACTCTTCCTGGATGGATTCATAGGCAAACCCAGTCCTCTTCCCAAATGCCCACTCTATAATTCTTAACCAACTTCCTTTCTTCTCCAGCGCTCTGTAAAGGCGGACATTTGAGCAACCAGGAAGCTTTTTGGAGGGAGTTAGAGAAATGATAACTGCTTTAACCAACTGAAAGGTAGTTTTGCAAAAGTAACCAGACATTGTCCAGGAAAATGCCACTGGCCGTGCAACCAAAGTCCCTGATCTTTGCTGCTGAGCAGGTAACGTCCAAAGACTGAAGAATCCCAAGAGCACAAAATCCTGTGGAGGAGAAAAATCCAGACCCTGCTAGAGCTCTGGTTCCTCTAGCTCTGGAGATGACACCTACCTTAGAAACCAGTCCCCACCTGGATGACCCAGAAGCAGGAGAGTTAATTATGTGCTGTGTCAAAAAAGGAGGAGTTTACATTGCCTACCTTAGGTTTAAACATAAATGCTTATTGGTTTAAGTGCCTAGGATTTACAAGGATTCCTTAGTCCTTGGGTCAGCAATAACGACCATCTGTTGCCCATTAGGAACCAGGTACATTAGGAACTAAGGTGTTTCACACCCATTGTGGTTATTTTGATTCTTCTTCGTTTTTTTCTCTTTCCTTTTCTGTCCAGCCATTGCTTTTTAATTCTCACAAACTCCCTGTGAGGACTTTATTTTGCCTCTGCATCTAACTGTAGGCCCCAACCTTCCAAGCCCTGCCTTGACAGGCCACACCGAGGTCCTGCCCAAGCTTCACTCCGTTATCTATAGGATGCCTTCTCCTCCTCCTGTCCTCCTCCCGGCCTTGCTAGGCCTGACCCCCTGCAATCCTCCTGCAACCTTCAATCACCTGCTGGGGGTGCTATAGCTAAGTTCTTCCAAGCACCTCCTAAAGGGGTTCTCTAGAGCTATGTTTCCTGAGGCTTTAGACCACGGACTTATGAAGACACTTCAGCCTCTCAGGCTTCAGATCAAAACTTGTTGAATTTCAATCAAATCTAAGGTCCTCTTTTAAATATGAGAGAGAATTCTTGATGTATCCTACCTACTCTCCTAGTTTCCAAAACAAAACATTACAGAAAGCCTTAACAGTTGTATAATAAGGGCATCGAACTAATCAGCAAAATTCAGAGGAGCGCTGGGGACTTAAACACCATACATGTTGGGTGATGAGACTTTTCTCAAAACAATGAACAACCCTTTTTAAAACTTCAGACAGGTCTGGGGATGTGGCTCAGTGGTAGAGTTCTTGCCTAACATATATACAAAGTCCTGGATTTGTTCACTAGTGCTTTTAAAAATAATTTAAAAAAAAAAAAAACTTCAGACAAAACAAAGCATAATAATTCTCCCTTGTCTTACACATTTCTGGAAAATTTATAACATATTTTCAGAAAGAAAAAAACCAGGCATGGTGGTGCACGCCTGTAATCCCAACAACTCAGGATGCTAAGGCAGGAGGATCGCAGGTTGAAAGCCAGCCTCAGCAAAAGCAAGGCACTAAGCACCTCGGCCCCTGTTTTTAAATAAAACACAAGAAAGGACTGGGGATGTGACTCAATGGTTGAGTGCCCCTGAGTTCAATCCCCAGTACCACCCCCCCCAAAAAAAAGAAAAATATAAAATGGAATTGGCCCCAGGCTCAGATAATCATAGCAGGGTTTTCAAAATGCCAGTGGATGTTACCAGGTCCTGCTAGGGGTGGGTCCTGCTACACATCTTCCTGAGCAAATGTCTAACATCCTGACCACACTCAATGCCAGCTCCACCACCATTATAGAAACAACTAAAACACTCTCCCACAGATACCCAGAATCGCCCCTGAGTGGCAGTTCTCCTTTGACTGAAAACCACTGGCATGGAATGATGGACCCGGGCTTCATTATCAACCCCCAAGTGCACAGGATCCCACAATAAGGAGCCACCACGGGACTGGCCTGGTGACCCCTCTGCACATGATGGTGGCACTTCAGGACATACACAGAGCTCAGTTATGCCCCAACATTCTCTACCATGGCTGGAATTTCCTGTGAAACCTAAATTCATTTTTGTTCTTGTCATTTGTACCTGGAGGGGTAAATGATTAATCCATAAGCAACTGTGAGGAGGGAGGGATGGGAGGTCTCGGAAAGGTGAGTGGCAATGGGTGGAACTGCTGAAGCTCTGGGTGGAGGGGGACTTGTCACTCAGAACCAGGCAGCACAGATTGCAGATGCCTTCTCCCAGCTGATCTGCTAACAGGAAAAGACAGGAACAGTGAGACACACCAACAGCAGA